TTTTTTTTTTTTTAAATATTCTAAAAAAAAACTATTTAGAGAATTAACTCACTTTTCAAACTATTTAGAAAATTAACCTACTTTTTAAAGTTGCATTTCAAAATGCGATTTAAAAAAATAGGTTAGTTTTCTAAATAATTTGAAAAGTGAGTCAATTCTCTAAATATTTTTTTTTTAGAATATTTAAAAAAAAAACTCGAGGATGTCATATGATCCTCTAATTTGATATTTATTAGTTAAAACATATATATTGTGTTTGGTTTTAATTTTCTGAATTTATTTTTTTTGAAAGTTGCGTTTTCCTATTTTTAGTGCATATTTTTTAAAATTTTAAGCAATTGTTTTACTTTCTTAGATACATCTTACTTAGAAATATCTAAAAAATAAAATATTTATAAAAAATTAATAAATACACAAGAATACAAAAATATATTGAATTTTCATTTTTTTTTATACTTTTGGTATTTAGTGAATTCTTTTTAAAAAATTATTGTACTTTTTAACTGTATTTATGTTAAGTGTATTTAAAAATTAAAAAATTACTAAAAATATTAAAAAATGTGTCCTAAATAAGTGTACTTTTTGTCTTTTTAGACTAAAAAGTTGAGGTTGAAAATATGAATGTTTGGGTTAACTTTTTGATTTTTTATGAAAAAATGTGTAATAAAAAATTGTAAAAATTAATTTGTAGGGGAAAATTAGAATTGGGAGTTGTGCAGTCGTAATTGTTGATTTTTGATGAATAGTGATAACTTTTTAACTTTTTGAGTAACTTTTTGACTTTTTGACTTTTTTGAGACTTCCCAAACTTGACCTTAGTAAAAAAAAAATACAAAAAATAAAAAGTTTCGATTTAAAAAAAAATAAATTCAAAAAACTTAAACCAAATAAGCTATTATATTTTTGAAAATAACTTGACAAATGTTTAATAATAAATGGTGTGAAATAACATTTTAAGAGCACCAAATAATCACTTCACATAATAGTTTAAAAACAATTCACATAAGTTCAAAGATTAAAAATTAAAAAGTCATACTATTGAACGGCTGCGATAATCTAGCATTGATGAGAGTAGGTTATCTTCCTCCTTTAGAGGAACCTACTCATCGAACGGTGGGCCCTCCTCCATCAGCGCGAGGACATCATCAACCAAACCTGGTCGCTCACCTACCATAGCCGCAGCGGCCCGCCTTTCCACGCAGCCCTACGCCCTGGCCCCATTTTTTTTTGTCATTTCAAGAAAAAAATTGCTCGAAAGCAAATTACCTCGTTTGGGAAGTGTGCATTTTTGGTTAAGGAATTGTTTGCAATGGATTAGATTAACGATAATGCTACGTAACTTAAATTTTGTGATTTAAAAGCGACTTAAATAGTCAAAATAATGTCGTTTTGAGTATAAAACAATATAAAAATGACCAAAACGACGTCGTTTTGGTCATTTGAGCCACAAAATTTGAGATACGAGACATTTCCCTTAGATTAATATATTTTTTTTGATTTTTTATAGGGCAAATTACATATACTTTTCGAGATTTAGTAAAATTACAGATACTTTTTGAGGTTTGAAAAATTACAAATATTTCTCTGAATGTACTATTTGCATAACAAATTAAGAGATAAATTATATGAAAATATAAATCTCATGGGGCAATTTATTATGAAAATATAAACCAGGGGTATCTGTAATTCCGAAACCTCAAGGAGTATTTGTAATTTAGCTAAATCTCGAGGGAAGTATATGTAATTTGTCATTTTTTATAAAAAGATGCGTAAAAAAAATATAGAAATAATATGACTTAAAAAGATAAAAAAAGATAAAAAAAAATGTATTATTTTAGTTCATGCCAAACAAATTTTAAAAATAAAATAATCACCGGAAATATTGAAAAGTCAACAAATTTTATAAAAAAAAGTCACAATTTTTACTTTTTTTTTTGTGTGTGTATATTTTGTATATATATAAAAAAAAAAAAATCAGAAATCCATCCTAAAAGTAATTTTTTTAATCTCATATTTTTGCAATATATATATATATATATTAAAATAACATATTCTCAAACAAGATCAATTAATGTAAAGAAAGAATATCACATTAGTAATCACTTTCTTTTAAGAGTTGGGTTTCTCTCATGTTGATATATCAACATAAGAAAAATTTAGTGGCTCATAGGGTCTATTATGGGTCTTATTTCGATGATTTAAATTGTTCATTTTGTAAGATGCTCAATATACATCATCCATGAAAAAACTTAGGTCAATCTAATAATCATAACTTTTTTATTTGATCCTGTTTGTCTCTAAAAAATAAATACAAATGCGATAAATTAAAAAAGTTATGATTATTGGATTGAACTAATTTTTTTCATGAATAATATATAGAGAGCCCTACAAAATAAATGATTTAGATCATTGAAAATAGGACCTGTGGTAAGCCCTATAGACCTCTCAAGTTCTTTCATGAAAAAAGTCCAACCTTCTTCTAGAAGACATTCAAGTTTTAATTAAATTAAGAGTTACTTTTGTTTGCATGAGTTTTTAGGATTTGTTTTTTTATCAAAAAAAATGGTAAAAAAAATAAATAAATACTCATTATTTTCAAGTGATGTCTTTTTTTTTTAAATAAAAATATTGAAATATATAATTTGTACCGAACAAATGGGCCAAGCAAAATCTAATGTGCGTCTAATCTTGACCGTGCAATCGAGCTATCTTGAGTGCTAGGTGTTAGGCTAAACTAGTTGGTGGGCTAAGGCCATGGGCTCAATGAGAGGCCAGGCTAGGAATGAGAGCATAAACTTTAGCCGGGATAGAAACTACAGTTCAGTTAGACTGACACCTTAAAGAATGGCGGGGCTAAGATCGGATGGGGGCACGAAACTTGACCGAGCTACAAGTTACAGTTGGGCAAAGGAGTAGCACAGAGTTTTCCCGAGCAAAAAAAGTGAATCGAGATAGAAAGCCCCCAAGAGCAAACCAGCCAAAGTCATTTTGGTCTTGGAGATTAGTCTGGTTTGGACCGGGATGCAATTAGATCAGTTAGAGGTAGCTTGGTGGCCAAATGCTACATGGCCCAATCAGAGTGCGAAGAGAAGAACTCGCCGAAAAGTATACGTCAATACCATTTGGTAGTTTAGTTAATGTTGTTTGGCAGTATTGACACGCACACGTGTAAGGAAAAGAGAGGGCAATACAACTATGCATTCAACATAGGACGAATGAGATAGTGAGCGTACAATCTAGAGATGCAAGGGAACAGATTATATAAAGTTCACGACTCTACTAAGCGAAAGGTTTGCGATTTCTAATTGCATACTCTCCTTATATTCATTCTTTTTCTAAGAGTGCTAACTTGACTGTCGGAAGGGTTTTTCGACAGAACACCCACGGGGTAGCTTGCTTGAGTTGTCTTTTCAAGTAGCACGACACCGTTCAGAGCCATACTAGCTTGGTTGCAAGGAGTACAAACACAATGAATATTCGCTCCCCATACATCACTACTTTTCAAAAACCACATTATTCTAATTTTGTCATCTATTAGGCTATGTTTTGTTGGAAAAATGGTTTGTGAAACCATGACTTTTGGCTAACTTTGAGCCTAAACTGACATGGGCTTCGGACATCGATTGAGGTGTGTTCGGGTGGAAACACGTTCTTTGCCGGGTGGTGATTTATTTCGTATATGTGGTTGTTCAAACCATTTTCCAAGTGAATGCAAAATTGACTTCAAAAGAGGTTTCGGCAACACGGTAGTTGAACGAATGCAAATTGAATTCGTCTCTGGTTTCGTCTAGAAACTCTGAAGCTTCTAATGGAAATTCAATTTCAATGTGATTTAGTTTCTCTCTTCTTCTTGAGAATTCCATATGGAGGTTTGATTTGGTGCAGGCAAAATTCTAGTAACTTTATCGTCGAATTTTGTACAGGACACCACATTTCTCACCGAGAATTCTCGGAGTTGAATCTTTGAAATTCAAACAGATTTGAGGCTATTCACAATACTATCTCACATCTATAAATTCCCCACTCTTCCTAAGTTGTTGTAGATAAGAAATTCGTATCGAATTACAATCTAAATTAGAGCCATAGTCGCGTCGAATTGTTTAGAATTCTTTGCTCTGTTTTTTCTTCGTCATTATTCATTTTAGAGTCTTTGAGTTAAAGAGAGTGCAACACAAGTTTGGTTTGTCATATCTGGAATCATTGTGCTGCGGTCTTGGATTTTAGTCCCTGTATCTTGAGAAGTTGGCGCCAATAACCTGAGCATCTTGGTGGGCGCGAATTAAACCTTAAGAAAATTGTGTCCAATACAAGTCTCGACTATTTTCGATATTGTATTATTTTGTATTACAATTTTCTATTTATTATTAAGCATAATCTTTTTACATAATTGTTTGTTTGAAGTATCATTGTGCTTTGTTGCTCTGTTTCTCTTTGAAAAATAATTTTTCCTCACCCGGTCATGTGGGACGACTGCCTCTATGAAATTTTTGTTTTGCTTTGCTTGGTTGCAAATCAATTCCAATAATCACTTAATTAAAAATTAGAAATGATTGCTGAGATAGTGAAGCAGCTCGGAGTGAAAGAAGTTAATCATATTTTTAGAGAAAGAAATGCATGCACAGATCTACTAGCTAATGAAGGAAACAAGCATGATGAAGACCTTGTAGTTTACTTACCAAAAAAAAAAAATAGAAAGAGTAGTATAATTAAAATTATAAAAGGGGTAACGACGGGGAATTAAAATTTTACATTGCAAAAGCAGGTGTAATTAGAAAATGGACTCATACTTTAACAGTGAAAATCTCATGTTACCAAAACACCCCTCGTCCCGACAGCCTACCCCTCCAACTCGATCCGAACGCGAGAGCATATAGCAATACACAAACTTCTATAAACTCTATTCTATGCATATCTGTATGGTTGTGTATTTGTGTAAATATTGAAATACTGATTAATTTTAATATTAATTAAGTAAAAAAAAAAAAAAAAAAGGCTTTGGAAATGTGTACTCATTTCTTTACTTTCTCAGGCGGTTTCACGCTTTTATTTCCTGATCTTTGACTCCGAACTTACACGGATGCGACCACCAACTTAAATCGTTTTTTGTTTGTTTGTTTGTTTGTTTTTCTCTCTCGTCGGTCTGAGATTTTTTCTCCTTTCGTCGTCGTCGTGCTCTTATTCTCCTCGCGGAGACACCCCTCTTCCGCCGTAATCTCGCCGGAAACCTCCTTCCAACTCCTCATTGGCCGGAAGACCGCTTTTAACCACTTTCTCCCAGTCGACGCCAGTCCACGGAGGCTTCTGTCTCTGGTTTCGAGTGGCGGTGCTAGGGTTTCGGCCGGAACGTCGTTGGTTGGAGTTCGGAGTAGAGAGGCAGATCTGCGAATTCCAGGCTTGAAGACGGTGAGGAGAGATAGAGAGAGAGAGAGAGAGAGAATTTGGTGAGGTGATGTGAAGGTTGATGGTAGTGTACGGAAGAGAGTGTGGTGGTGGTTGTAGTTGATGATGACCGGAACTCCTCAGACAAATCGCAGTGGGAGGTGGTGTTCCGGTAAATCTCTCACATGGAATGGCAGATCTTGTTAGCTACGGTAATGCCAACCGTGACATTGAGCAGGTATGTTGTATTTGCCCTTTATATTCATTTTTATGCAATGTTCATCTTCAATTTCAATTGTCTTGCTTCAATTACATCTTTCTCCGGATGTTGATCCACTGATCTTTGGTGAAAAACAATTAAACGTTTTGCTTTTTTTAGTTTTGGATGGATTTTGATATCAGTTATTAACCTTGATAGCAAACGAAAAAATGATTTTTTTTTTTTTTTTTTTTTTCAAACAAATTAGCAAATTTAGTATTCAATGATGACCTTCAAAGAAGACAATGCAGGAGTACATTTTCCATGCCAAAAGATTATGCAAATATGTCAACTAATAAATATATGATAGCTTGTTCGGCTCTGACTTTGGACCCAAGACCATGTTTATTGTGATACTAATACCATCTTTGCATATCCAGAATGTATATCTCCTGTTGTTTTAGTAGTAAATTTAATGTTTTACCCGGACTTATGAAAAATAAAGGATACAAATGACTGCATTACCTGTATTTAGTTATATTACACATTTAGGGCATTTTCACACATATGAATCAAATAACCAAGTCTTGGAAAAATGTGGAATACATATACACATTTGTTACAAAATGTGTTGGCGATTCTTGCAGCGTCTAAGACTCATTACTAGATAGTAGTTCTTATATTTTTTCTTTTTTCATATCCAATCTTTATGTGGAATTTCATTGTTTGTAAATCATCCTTTTCCTTTTGCAGGCATTAATTGCTCTGAAGAAGGGTACTCAATTGCTTAAATATGGTCGTAAGGGAAAGCCTAAATTTTGTCCATTTAGAATTTCTAATGTAAGTTTGACGCTTATTCCTCTTACACTGACAATTCAAAATGGATGGCTCAAGAACTTTGGAATGTTTTTTTACTTTTCTTTCATCATGGTGATAATAGCAATTAAATGGGTAACAACCTTGGTGTATGAAATGATGTGACTGTGCAATGTGCATATTTTTTGGTATTAATGGTCAGATAAAGTTGTGTTTTATTTATGATCATTAAATTAAGTATTGTATTATCAAATATGCTTGTCTATTGTTTGTTGATTTGTGCATAACATTAGGGTTTATGCTAAATTTTTGTTATATTATTGTAATTTACATATGTGTTGGCTTTTACTCCTTTTAAAAATGGAAGTGGCTGATTTTAGATGAAATATAAGCTATGTTGCTTGGACACAAAACACCGGACGTGTTTGACATTATTACCATGCCAGCTATAATACTTAATGAGATATATTGCACATGTACACTAGACATGTTTGCAAATGACTCATCTTTTATCCACAACTTACAGGATGAATCATCTTTGATCTGGATTTCTAGTAGTGGTGAGAGAAGTTTGAAGTTAGCTTCGGTTTCAAGAATCATTCCTGGACAAAGAACTGTGAGTTTGTCTGCTTATAAGATATTTAGATTATCAACAATTCTGGCACTTACATTTTTCAAGCAAGTAAATCGCCTAACTAAAGCTCTTTTTCTGTTCAATAAAAAATGTACTACCAGGCTGTTTTCCAAAGGCATCTGCGACCAGAAAAAGATTACCTGTCCTTTTCTCTTATATACAACAACGGAAAACGATCCCTTGATCTGGTTGGTATTTGATTATTAAGTTTTTGTGCTTAATAACATGATCGGTGCCTTTTGATCATTTATTTTCTGCTTGAATTGTAAATATGGCATGTTCTTTTAGATCTGCAAGGACAAAGTTGAGGCGGAGGTGTGGATTGCTGGCCTTAAAGCATTAATATCCTCAGGCCAAGGTGGGCGCTCAAAAATTGATGGACGGAGTGATGGAGGCCTCTATTTTGAAGTAAATCTACTGCCTGAGACATTTTTTAAATCAAATGTCATATTGGGGCATATCTTGTTTTTGCTGTATAACCCACACATGAACAAGTATATTTGCCTTTTGTTTTCAGCCAGCTGACTGCTGAGTCAGAAAGAACATATCTGAGTGTCTATTCTTGGGATGTGTATAATACAAATCCTTGGTTATTTTGCTTTAGCCTTTCACCAATTGCATTGTGAAGACCATTTTACCTAGCTTATTGAAAAAATATGTGGCTTTCTTAAGAGATCCACTTAGTTTATTTTGACTTCGTGTGGGGGAAATACTTAATGATTGATCACAAACAAGTGAAGTGGTCTATGCCAACGACGAATCTTCAATATGCTGTCTGGTCATATGTTTTTCCCTTGAAAATCTTAGATTTTTTTTTACATGGAAGAATTTACGACTTCCATTCTATGTTCTGTATTTGTTTTACTTAATTGACTTCTAGTTTTACATAAGTTGCACTTTGGTTAATGATTTAAATGATTCAAAGTACTTTACTTAATTAACTTAAAATTGAACAATATCTATGTTACAATATGCATTTATTCCACTACCACCTCCACTTCACCTACTCCTTACCTACTACACACTCACCCTCTTCTATATATAGGAATCATGAATCATTGTAATAGATATCAATATAAATCAATCAATAATACATACAATTTATTCTCTCTCTATTTCTCTTTATACATTAAATTTTACAATATGCATTTATTTATTTTTTAAATTTTTTGGTGGGGGCATACCCAATTTGTTAAAGTTGCATGATCTAACTATTCTCATTGTTTGTTCGTGTTATTCTGCCAGCTGCGTATCATGTCTGATGCTAACATGATCAATTGATTTCAGGATAATAGAGACTTGACGTCAAATAGTCCGAGTGACAGTTCTGTTAGTGGTACGCGTGATATTAGCTCCCCGGAGTTTTCTGTGAGTTCAAACACAAACACTTCACCCAGGAGTTATCGGCTTGAGAATTCTTTGCATTTTGAGAGGTCACATGTAGCTTTGGACCAAGCAAGTATGCAAGTGAAAGGATCTGGTTCAGATGCTTTTCGAGTTAGTGTATCTAGTGCTCCCAGCACTTCCAGTCATGGTTCTGCTCCAGATGATTGTGATGCTTTAGGGGATGTATACATATGGGGTGAGGTTATATGTGATAATCTTGTCAAGGTTGGGGCTGATAAAAATGGCAATTCTTTGAGTAAAAGAGTTGATGTACTTCTTCCAAAGCCATTAGAGTCCAATGTAGTTTTGGATGTACATCATGTAGCCTGTGGGGTCAGGCATGCTGCCCTTGTCACCAGGCAAGGCGAACTTTTCACCTGGGGTGAAGAATCTGGAGGACGGCTTGGTCATGGCGTTGGTAAAGATGTTACCCAACCTTGTTTAGTTGAAGCCTTAGCATTTTGTAGTGTTGATTTTGTTGCATGTGGAGAGTTTCACACTTGTGCTGTTACAATGGCTGGTGAAATTTATACATGGGGAGATGGCACACATAATGCTGGGCTTCTTGGTCATGGTAATGATGTGAGTCACTGGATACCAAAGAGAATTGCTGGTACTCTCGAGGAACTCCAAATTGCTATGGTAACTTGTGGTCCATGGCACACGGCCTTGGTAACATCAACAGGTCAGCTTTTTACATTTGGTGATGGAACTTTTGGCGTCTTGGGCCATGGAGACAGGGAAAGTGTTTCATATCCAAGAGAGGTGGAATCTTTGTCAGGGTTGAGGACAATTGCTGTGGCATGTGGGGTGTGGCATACTGCTGCCATTGTGGAGGTTATTGTTACACAGTCAACTGCAACTGTTTCGTCTGGTAAATTGTTTACATGGGGGGATGGAGATAAAAATCGCCTTGGACATGGAGACAAGGAACCTCGGCTTAAACCTACGTGTGTGCCAGCACTTATTGAGTTCAATTTTCACAAAATTGCTTGTGGGCATAGTTTAACTGTTGGCTTGACCACTTCAGGACATGTTTTTACAATGGGTAGCACTGTTTATGGTCAGCTAGGCAATCCTCATTGTGATGGAAAGGTTCCTTGCTTGGTGGAAGATAAGCTTTTTGGGGGATCTGTTGAAGAGATTGCCTCTGGTGCATATCATGTGGCAGTATTAACATCGAAGAATGAGGTGTATACGTGGGGAAAGGGAGCTAATGGAAGGCTGGGCCATGGAGATATAGAAGATCGGAAAACACCAATGTTAGTTGAAGCTTTGAAGGATAGGCATGTTAAATTTATTGCTTGTGGTTCAAACTACACTGCAGCTATATGTCTTCACAAATGGGTGTCTGGGGCTGAGCAGTCTCAGTGCTCAGCTTGCAGACAGGCTTTTGGGTTTACCAGGAAGAGGCACAACTGCTACAATTGCGGACTTGTGCACTGCCATTCATGTAGTTCGAGAAAAGCATTAAGAGCAGCCCTGGCTCCTAATCCCAGCAAACCATATCGTGTATGTGATTCCTGCTTTGCCAAACTGAGCAAAGTGGCAGAAGCTGCTGCTAATAGCAGGAGGAATGCCATACCACGCCTTTCAGGTGAAAACAAGGATAGGTTAGACAAGGCTGAAATAAGATTATCCAAGTCGGCAATACCTTCTAATGTTGATTTAATAAAGCAATTAGATAACAAAGCAGCTAAACAAGGAAAGAAAGCTGATGCATTGTCATTAGGTCGTACCAATCAAGCACCTTCTCTGTTACAGCTTAAAGACGTGGTTATATCCACCGCTGTTGATCCGCGTCGAACAGTTTCCAAACCTGTTCTTACACCATCTGGTGTTAGTTCCAGATCTGTGTCACCTTTCTCTAGGAAACCTAGCCCACCACGTTCTGCAACACCTGTTCCTACGACTACTGGACTTTCCTTCTCCAAAAATATTGCAGATAGTTTGAAGAAAACAAATGAACTTTTGAATCAAGAAGTTCAGAAATTACGTGCCCAGGTATTAGTTTACCTTTTTTGGGAAGGAAAAAATTAATCATTTCAAATTGTCCTTATCTTGTGGTGATGGATATGTGATAGGTTGAGAGCCTCCAACAACAGTGTGAGCTTCAAGAATTGGAGCTTCAAAAATCAACGAAGAAAGCTCAGGATGCTATGGCCCTTGCCACAGAAGAATCTGCTAAATCTAAAGCTGCAAAAGAAGTGATAAAATCACTTACCTCACAGGTTAGTTTCTGGATTCTATATATATTTCCTTTCCTTGCATGTAACCTGATTTTTCTTGGAAATTGTCTTGACCTATTATTTGTGCGGTAGAAGTTGCAGAAAAGGGATATATAGGTGGCCATCGTATAATATGGGGGATTGTATGGGGGTCTTGTCATAATGTATAATCTATTTTTGGTTCGAGTAACTCAAATCACTGTCTCTCAAAGATGAGAGCTCAGCAATTGGAGAAATTTGTGCTAGTTTCAACATCCTTAGTTCTTCAGTGCTCATTCTTCTGATGCTTAAATTTTGAGGTTATGAAACAAGTCTCAGGGTTTCTTTTCAAATCAGTTCTTAGTTTGTGCTGTTAAATTATCCCCTTAGTTCCTTGTGCAAAAATCACTTTCTGCATATGTTTCTTGTCATAGTTGAGCAGGGATGTTGAATTATTTAAAATTTTCTTTTCTATCCAAGCTCAAAGATATGGCTGAGAGGCTGCCATCCGAGGTCTATGATGCCGATCGTGTTAGGGCAATTCACCTACCCAATGGCTTGGAACCAAACGGCATTCACTACCCTGATGCAAATGGAGTACGACATTCTGATTCAATCAATAGCTTTCACTTGGCCTCCTCCGTGGAAACTGACCCTACTACAATAAATGGAGCTCAGAGCCCCGGTGAATTGCCTAGGGACCCACTTGGAGCTAAGGAAAGAAATGCGTATCATCAGAGCCAGAGACTTCAGAACACTAGTGTGAGTGATGAACATCCAGATGTCAGGCTTCCAAATGGTAGTGGAGGCAGTGATAGCATGGAGTCTGGACCTATCCAAGATAGTGACAGTACAAGATCTAGGAATTCGGCATTGACTGGTAATGCTAATAATCAAGTTGAGTCTGAATGGATTGAACAGTATGAGCCCGGTGTGTACATAACACTTGTCGCCCTCTGCGATGGAACTAGAGATCTCAAACGAGTGCGCTTCAGGTAGCTGAATTCTTTTCTGATTCTTTAATTCAGTTTCTATAAAAATCTTGCGATTTATTATGCACATGGCAATAATCAACTGATCAGATATCAGAGATTTATGCAGTAAAAGATTTAAATTTTCAGATGATATTTTGGGAATTGTACATTAATATTCATGATGTAAACATGATGGTCCAAAACACAAATCTATTACACAACTTATTTTCTTGCTGTAGCAATCTGATATTGTAATTTGTGTCTGCAGCCGGAGAAGGTTTGGCGAGCACCAAGCGGAGACATGGTGGTCAGAGAACCGTGAAAAGGTTTACGAAAGGTACAATGTTCGTGGGTCAGACAAGTCATCAGTCTACAGTCAGGCTGCCCGCCGATCAGAGGGAGGTGTCTCGCCGTCTTCCCAAATTTAGCAACTTGATTAGAGGAAATTTTCTATCAAACCGTTTTGTAACTGTCAATTGTGAAGGATTCTTAGGTTAAGCAGTAGACCCAATATTAGATCCCCTCTTTTGTCTTCTTTCTGATCCCATTTTATAATTTATGTATTCTAGTTCAATTTAATTTTCTGGGTATTTGCCCTATTTTTTTTTCTTAGTTTTCTGGTTGTGGGTATGTGCTCTTTATCTATCTGTTGTATTGTAGTGTATATAAAAACAAAAAATTATGATAATCTAGGTAGATTTTTTGTCCATTCCTTGATTTTTCTTTTGCCCCAAATGAAATTAATGATTACTATGATCAATTTGAATAAGCAAAAAAGTTAAACAAATGAGCAAAAATATTAGAATAGATAGATTCGGTTTGGAGAGATAAGCAAAAAATACTAGGACATGTAGATTAAGATAATTTGAACACCGATTAAAATAATTTAGATAATTTAAACAGGAAGGTCAAAAATTTTGAGATAGATAAATTAGAATAATTTAAAAAAATATGTTAATAATCTACTTAAAAATATATCGATAGATAGGTATATATTGATTGAGAGTGGGTGTTGTGACAACATCTGTGTTGTTACATCCCGTAAGTTTGTTTATATCATATTTTGATGATCCGAGTCGTTCTTATTATAGGGTTTGTTAAGTATATATTATTCATATAAAAAAATGAAATTAATTCAACAAGTATAATCTCATGATCAAGCCAAATAATAATCTTAAAAAATTATTAAAATCACGCTGGCCGTTTATTATCCTAAAACATAAATGTAATTTTGATGTGAGTTATAGATGTTTAATTAACTTGAATTTTTTCATAGATGGTCTATTTGACGAACCCTATACTATGAATGGTTCAAATCATTAAAATAAATCCGAGACACGCCTTCACGGGTTCACAACACGGTGCTATTCCTATAAGACACAACACCAATCTCATTCCCGGTATATACCGGCCATTTACTCGGCACATATAGTTTAAAATAATTTAAACAGATGCATTATAATATTGGGACATAATTTGAACAAATAAATTCAAATAATTTGGACAAACAGATCTATATAGAAAGTAAATTAGCTATCTGTTCAAATCGTTTATGGCATTAAAACTTCAATAATTTATATGTTTGGGCTCAATAGTTTGTTTTGGATGATTTTTTTTAATTTCATGTATTTTTTCGAGATTTATTCATATAAAATTGGCGAAAGGGATTTCGGACACTTAAAAAAAATTGTCTCTTTGTTTTGATTAATTGAAAAATCAATCTATTATTATTATTTTTTTAATTTTATATTCAATATTGATCTTATTTGAAAGATCTCAGGAAGACATTCATATATATCAATTTTGTTAAAAATAAATTTGTAAGACTTAAGTTCTGTGTTTTTAAAATTTTTTAACACAATGCATTTTGGACTTACCAACTATGTTTGTCCTTATGACCAGTAAAGACCAAACATTGCGTCCCAAAACACAACACTCCATAGGTTGGGTTTTTCACCAAATTTTCCCTTAATTTATTATAAATTGAATTATATAAAATCTAACTTTCTTATTATATGATTATAATTTGTAAATCTCTACACCCTTCTTCTTGCATACAAATACAATGATAGTATTTTTTTTTTATACAATGATAGTTTTTTTTTTTTTTTTAGGTCTTGATTTCAGTTTTAAGAAAAGCCCAAAAACTATATGTCATGGGCCCTCTATGACCCACTACGATTCGTGTCTCCAATTTATTTATTTTTTTGGTTAAATTACACTACTAAAATCTGAAAAAAATAGAACAAGTCACAATTTTTTTTATAATTATACTGATTTTTATTTTAGTAAGATTAAATTGATAGTAGTGTAAAAATACAAAAATTACTAAGACAACATACATTTCACTATAAGAAAAAAAAGGATAATATTATTTTTTTCATTCATATAATTAATAAATTATTGTTGAAAAACTAGAATTGTTTCTTAATTTTGTGATTTCTGATATGGAAAGCAAGTTATGGGAAGGAATATATTTTTATTTATTTTTTATTTTTTTAAAGATTTGAAGTAATAGGAAGGAATTAAAAGAATAATGCCAACATCAAAATATGCAAGCCTCTATTTCCATCCATGGAATTGTATTGAATAAAAAAAACTCAATACTTTGAAAAAAAAAGAAACACCACAAGTCTAATTTTGAACCTCCCCAATTTCATTAGCGGAGGGGTCAAAAGACAAATAAAAATTTTTACCATTTACATAAGTACACATGTATGTACAATATGATATATAAATTATAGGGGCATTTTTTCATAAATCCATTTTCACCTACTTATGTTCCATTTAGTCCACATTATTTTCTTATATTCCAATAAGTCTTATGAGTGACATAGTTACCAAAGTACCCCTAATAATATTCACATTTTATAGTGTGAATGTTCCGTAATGTGAATGTTCACACCATCAATATGAATGTTAACATGTCAATGTGAATGTTCAAACTGTCAATGTGAACATTCACACATCAATGTGAATATTCACATTGTAAAATATGAATGTTCACATCATCAAATTGCTAACCGTTCAAAAAATATTTGTAAGGATAAAAATGTCCATAAAATACTTTAAATATGAGAATTAAGATTTGGTAGATCAAATGTTCAAATAATATGACTTATTAGAATAAAATAATATTTTATGGACTAATTGGAATACAAACACTTAAAAAAATGATTTTTCAATAAATTTCCCTAAATTATATCCATACACAAAAAAATTCAAATATCATAGAAACAATTTCTAATGGATGAAAGCGTTTTTTTTAGTGTAAAATAAAAAGAGAATAGAAGATGAGATAAGAATGAGATATGTATTATTTATACTGAGAGCCCTTTTATGTATAAAATGAGATGTATATTTTTAAAATGTCATGGCAAATCATATTTTTCACAGAAACATGAGGGTCATAACCCTCCATAGTCTTCTCCTAGTTTCGTCTCTGCATGGTATCCACGATTTCTAATTAATAAACAAAAAATAATTTTGAAATTGAATAATAAGAAATTAAAAAATATAGAAAAATAAATTTTAAATCAATTAAATCTTATTATTTCCATCAAGGTTACATATAAGGATTTTTTTTTCCATTAATGGTATATTCTGAATTCTAAATAATAAATACAAATGTCCTAACAAAATTGGGAGAAATTAAAAGGACAAAATTGGTGAATAACATAAACTACACTTACCATAGGATAGATACAATTAATTCAAATGTTTTTTAAAATTTAGTTTGTCTTATGTAAGAGTTCGTCTGATAATATAGTAACTTTAATTACATTTTAACTTCCTGTAATTTAAATCGAAAACACATTGCCTTCCTGTGGTTAAGAAATACACACTTAACCCCTTCTGATTTGAGGCAAAGTGTAAAACTAACGAATTTTGTCTAAGTTAACTGTGTGTGAGTAACAAGTAATGAATTAAGCGCGTGAGACATCTCATAAAGACATTGAAGCTAAAAAGGATTGATAAAATGACATTTTTGTCCATTTTTATTTTTATTTTTCTTTCTTCTCCTTTCATCCTTTGCCTTTTCGTCGCTGTATATCACTATATAGCAACAACTGACCCACTCTTATCCTTCCCCACCACTTCTTGTCTATACTCATTATCTCCTCCATCTCATTTCCCTTATTTATTTATTTATTTATTATTATTATTATTATTATTATTATATTTTTTATTTATATATTAGCATGACTGATATGTATGTAAGAATTTACATATGTAGGTGGGTGGCTCTTCCAACCTAGTTGGCTAAGACATCCATGGTTGTTTTCATGGAAAAAAAGGAAAAATAAAGAAAAACGAGGACAAAAAATTGCGCAGTTGGAAGCAAATGATGAATAAATTCGTTTTGAATTCTTCAGTTGGTGGTGTTTGGGTCTTCAAAACTTAGCAATGATCTTGTCTATGTAGAACAGAAAATTAGTACTTCAAGTTGTGTTACTTAGTCGTTTTCCTAAAGACAATATTTGCACCCACTAATAGGTGTGCAGGGGGTTACAACAAATTTGCCTCTAGGATACAATGAAGCCTAATCTAAGGATCAAATCTATCGGCGTCTACATTGACAACAGGAGATCAGAATACTCTTGATGTAATCAAGAAAACATAGACACTAATAATCAAGTTTGCAGAATTTGATTAGTGGTAAGAAAAGTAGAAACTTGTTTACGAAACTTTTGATCGAAAACTTTAAATCAAGAGGGGGAGAGAGAGAGAGAGAGAGAGAGAGAGAGAATTGTGGGAATGCTTTCTAGATTTTTGATGGATTGAAATGGCTGATTTTGCTGCCTATAAGCCTTGATGCATTTGATCGAATGGCCATGTCCCTTGATCACATCCGATCAAATTTGATTGTTGGATCGTCGATCTATGGTGCAGATTAATCTCACACTAAATAGATGCCTTGACTGATCATACATGATCACAATCGGGTGCTATATCAACCATACGATCATGTGCATCTCCAATCAACGGCTATGATCAGACCACTTCAGATCGGACACGCAGCCATTCGATTGGTTGGTTGACTCGTTCCCAATGGACGTCACATCACTGTCACGTAGAGTGGATTGTATTCCATGTCACTCATGCCATGTCGGATCTATGCCATCGCTCCAACCTATTCGATGCAAATAGAAAAGCGCCCTCATGGCGCTAATGCGTTCTTGCTAAGTGTGCCATCAAATGCCACATAGCCTACTGCCTACGCCACGCATATGCGCGCCCTAACATCCATTCTACAATTCCAATTCAAAAGAATATTCCATATAGAACTTTATTAAGTGCTCCATGTTTTTCTCTCTTTCTAATGTGGGACAAAGTTCCCAAGCTTATTTCAAATTTTCCAAAGAAAAATAAAAAAGGTTTTGAAAATATCCAAAAACTAAACTATAAATTTTGAAAATCATTTTGAAAATTTCCCAACAGCAAACGTGGTGGGGGATTTCAATTTTATGTATATGTTGTAAATACATATATAATAATTGATATATATATATATAGGAGTATGACACACACACGCACATATATATATATATATATATGTTTTGTGTGTTATTTTAATTTGAAATTTTTTGTGCATAAAAAATGGGTGTATGTATCAGAAATGAAAAATTATTTTGGTTGATTTTGTTAGCAAAAAGAAAATGGGTTGACTATGAGGAAGGGGATGAGAGATCAAAAAACGTAAAAAGA